AAGTAGTGCTTGAATTAAACGGCTACTAATATATAAAATATTGAAAGGCTATTCCATATAAAGTCCAGTTAAAACTGAAACCTAATAAAACAGTACAAATTTAAAGACAGATAATGAAACATTTCACTTTAAATCATAATCAAAACCACCTTTAATTTTCTTGATTATGATGAATATGAGTATCTTGCTTATCCTATAGATATATCTGAATACAGTGACAGATGTTAAAGCTCAGTTGGAAATGAAATTGTAAGCCCTTGACTGAGACGCATTCACCAATTCGCTTGGCAGATGTTTTTGAATGTGTTGTGCCCCAAAGACGACCTTTGTATAATTAATTGAGTGTTTCTAACTGGACTCGTCGGCGCTGGGGGTCAAACTCTAACGACAGACAACGTCCGTCTCAGTCTCTCTCCCTCCCTCTTTTTCTCTCACTGTCTGTCCACCAGTCTCGCAGTCTGTCCAGCTGTCCGTCTCTCAGCACGTTTCATTGATGAATTTTGACAGTTTCTTAAATTTTGGGTTAATGATTGGAGCGGCCAAAAGGCAAAAGAAGAACAAATATACATATCTCAATACATATTTATGTATGTATGTACACAGTGAATACATTGATCTTAAAGCGCGTTGGTTCCCGCAAATTCATTAGCGAAAATGCAATTAAGTAAGGTTTTGTTTTATTCTTTACACCCTTTTACGTAGAGGAAATCGTTTTCGTTGATGTTGGCAAACATGTTTGTTAACTTGAATATTTTTTGGACTTATCAAAATAGTTTGGATTGCATGTTTTCTAATGATAACATAACTGAGATAGAGATATATATATGTATATACTATATATGTATTCAAACACAAAGTCTTTGGATATCGCATGACGCATTTAGCATTCCTTTGGATTCCTTGGAAAACGTGCCCATATCTAACAACTGGCAATTAAACCTGCCTAACATACACACGCACATATACACTCGTATTTAATACCGTTACGCGCCTAGGTGAGGCCTTACTGAGGCCCACTGTGCTTGGAGCGCATGCCCCTTGTTTTGAAGAAAAAGGCTTTGGGGCAACTTCACAATGTTCCGAATTGCAGGCCTTGGCGCATGTTAGACACAAGTCTGATTCTGCGGGCTTGGGCACTGCCACGCCCCCAGACGCCAATTATGTTTGGCGGGGCAAGGCGAAGGATGTGCCGCGAGCACAGGATATGCTTAAAACGGCGGCGCGACAGGCAGCAGAAAAAGAATAAAAAAAAAACTTTAGTTGAAAAAATTAAGTCAAACTACAAAAAAAAAAATGAAAGTTTGCTTAACATTTGATTTTGTTGTTGATATCGAATTAATATCAAATACCAGGCGTTGGCCAAGACGGGCTGGGCGACAACTGCCCGGCGGCCTTAACGGAAATGGAAATGATGCGCGAGGCAGAGGCAGAGGCAGAGACAGAAACAGAGGTAGAGGCATGGGCAGGGGCATCACTCTCGGCACACAGAGTGGAGCAATTAGGCAGCGCCCCATTGGACGTGGCATTAAATTGTGAGCTGAAAGTGGCAGATACATCAAAAGTGAACGCAATCCATCATCTTGCGAATCACGGCGTGATGAGTGCCGCCAACAGTTCAAGCAAAGCCGCTGACGCAGTCGCAACAACAGCTCCAGCTTCAGCCGCAGCTCCAGCTCTATGTCCAGCCTCAGCTCTTTCTTTTTCACGTCGGCATCCTTTTGACTTACTTTTTTTGGGGGATTTTATGTTGATGATCCCTGAGACTGACGCGTTCGCCGCACGAGCTAAAAATCATAAAAATTTGCTGTGTATTTACTGTTTGCCCCTCTTAACTACCGTTAGGCGAGCGCACCTTTAACAGATTTCAAACTACAAGATACGAAAACTAGAGTTGCGCGCCTTTTTTATAAATGGTCAAGGTCACAATTAATTGCGGGTCTGGCGATGGCGACTTCCTATATAACCAGCTTGACTTAAAACTAATGCCGCCTGATCTACTTTCGGCCTGAGCGGAGCAATTAAAACAATTACCTTTTACCCCACTGCAACGCGAGCTTGTGACGGTTGTCTGTGTATTTGTGTGTGTTAACTATTTGCTGTAGCTCTATCTTAGCTGGTCGTTGTATCTGTAGATGTAGATATGTCTGTGTAATTTTAGAATTGGATGAAACTGTCGTGTGTATCTGTGTTGCTAAACAGCTTTAAAAGTAGTTAAATCTGTGTCTGTATCTGTATCTGTATCTGTATCTGTATCTGTATCTGTATCTGTATCTGTATCTGTATCTGTATCTGTATCTGTATCTGTATCTGTATCTGTATCTGTATCTGTATCTGTACCTGTATCTGTATCTGTATCTGTATCTGTATCTGTATCTGTATCTGTATCTGTCTCTGTATCTGTATCTGTATCTGTATCTGTACCTGTATCTGTATCTGTATCTGTATCTGTATTTGTATCTGTATCTGTATCTGTATCTGTATCTGTATCTGTATCTGTATCTGTATCTCTATCTGTATCTCTATCTGTATCTGTATCTGTATCTGTATCTGTATCTGTATCTCTATCTGTATCTCTATCTGTATCTGTATCTGTATCTGTATCTGTATCTGTGTCTGTATATCTTTTGGTTGGTGATTGCAGGGCTTTTCCCTGGAATCGCTTGAATCTTAGCCATATCACGCCCATTAGCGACAATCAATCTCGGCCACGATGCAACAACCACAACAACAACAATTCAGTGATAAAGTTTTAGTTTTCTTTCCTTTTTTTGTATTCTTACCGCCTTTTTTGCTGTTTGGCTTTTTATTTACGAATGCGACTGCCAGATAACCCATAATTATGAAATTATTATTGAGCGCCAAGTTTGACTTCAAAGCCGAGCCATAAAACTGTATATGAAATATACAGCGAAAAATTATTATAGATATGCCTATACGGGATATGTCTATATGTATATATATGACGTCTTGCCTTGCCGTCGGAAAAGCAACATTTTATTTTTGTCTCTTCATTTCACTTCGTTTTCGGTTTCGTTTGCGTTTTGTGTATGTAACAGGAAACGCTGGCGGCGCAGGAAGTTGCATAAAATAAAAAAATATATATGTAAAAGAAGATGAATCTTTAATATTTATATACAAGTGACAAGTTTAATTTAAACTAAACTTAATTAAATAAATATATATTTGGAGAAAATTAAATATATATAAAAAAATTTTTTTGTTTTAAGTATGCCAAAAATTAAATAATCATACCATTGAAAACAAAGTTTATACACAGAGCTAAGTTGACTCCAGTCAAGCAGGTTGTTTACCCCTGCAACTGTTTAATATTAAAGACCAAAATACAAATGAATTTATGCAAGAAGCCCGCTAGGCAAATACACACAAAAAACAAACAAACTGTCGAAAAGCTAAAGAAGGCGTTCTAGGAATTTCTTGAAGGCAATGCCACGATGCACAGGATGCGGCTTGTTATGTGTTTTTCGGGGCTGCTTTTGAATATTTATGCGAAATGCAAAACAGAGGGTTGCAGGTCCTTCAACGTTGCAAGTTGCACGTTGCACATGCTGAATGCCGTTATGAGTTATTATGCACGCCTGCCAAGAAGTCAATCACCTGGTCCAAGTCCTGGCAGTTGCCAAATCAAATGCCCATATATAGCTATATACATATCTGGGCTCTGTCACTGGCTTGGTCGCTGCAACGAGGACAACCTGTAATTTTCAAATCTGGCGCAACAAATGCAAAACTTTTGCGAATGTATCTGTATGGATTGCATATGGAGCCGCAGAAATGGCGCACCAAACGAAAGATACTTTGAATGCGAGCAGCAGCAAGAGTAATTGGTGGAAACGAGATGGATAGAGAGATCGAGCGAGAGAAGGATGTTCAACGGAACGCATGTTCTTTGAAAATTGCCCATAATTATGCGAACGAACTTCAAACTGATTGTTTCTACCGGCAAGCAGCAAGCAGCAACAGCAACAGCAACAGCGGCGGCGGCGGCGTCGGCCATGGCCATGGCTGTCCAAAAACCGCGTCTGTGTGTTGCATGCAACATAGCCGAGTGGTCCATCTCAGCAGCAGACTCAACCCCAGCCGGGCTTTAAGATCGGGAATCGCTGCCCGTTTGCTGCAGTGAAAGAGAATGACTGTAATTACGCATCACTTTTTCTTAATTTTCATGCTGTGCATCTTCCTCGTCTGTTGCTGGTGGTGATGCTGCTCGTACTGTTGGTTGGTGTTGTTGGTGGTGGTGGTGGGGCCCACCATTTTGGCTTGGGAAGCTGTAGAGGATTTGGACACTGAACTTGACCCACAAGACAAGACAAGTATGTTGTTAGCTGGGCTTGGATGCTGTGGTGGTATTTGTATGTGTGTGCGTTTTTTTCGGTGAGAAATAAAAAATACGTCCCAGAGTTTTAGAAAATTACTTGTTGCGTGTTGCGTTTCCAAAAACATTTTGCGTGTCTTTTTGTTGTTTGTTGATTTCTTCTTTTTGTTCACTTCCTTCAAATCTAATTTAAAAGATACAAAATTTTAAATTATGGGGTTTTCTTTATTGCCAAAAATGTTTTCGTGTTTTTTTTTTATGATTGCGTCTACGTGCTATGAAAAGGTTAAAATTACGCGCCAGCAATTCGGATGCAGATGCCAGACGGGTGATACGCATATGTCGGAAGTGCTGAATGTCAAAGTCTTTTGTTCAAGACTAACAAACACAACTGCAATAAAATAGTCGATTTTAAAATACCTATTAAATAACTCTAGTTAAACTTTTGAATTGATAAAGATAAAAATACATTTTATTTAAATGCACTTAACAAATGTCTAAAGATTTTTATGAAATTTTCCCACTCGTATTTTGAATTATAACGTAAAGCTCGATTTGCTGCTCAAGTGTTGAGCAACACCCATATTTGCAATGTTTTACACACTAGTAATTTAAGGAGTTATCGACTGCCGCCACAGTTCGCGATAGATTTGCAGCACTGCAAGAACTTTTGTTATTGTTATGGTTTAGTTATTAAATGAATTATTACGATGGAAACAGATACAAATATTGCGGATATGACAGATGTTTCGTTTGCGGACTTCGAAACGAAAACCAGCGATGAAAATGCTAATTACAATAGCTATGGCCAATGCCAGTCTAAGCATGATATGTCTATGACACTCGACTTGTCGCTGGGCCAAAAGCCTGAGCAGCTCTTCGCAACTGATCAAACGCCAACACCAACACGTTTGATCAAAAACTGTGAGGAGGTGGGCTTGTTTGATGATCTGCAGCATGTGAACCCATTCGACATAGGATTTCAGCGGGCCGCCGAGCAAAATGCGGTGGCAGGGAACGCGCCGGAGACACCAAAACGTTCTGAAGCACCAGCAACGGATGGCGATTCGCTGCACACGCCGCAGGTTTATCCTCTGGAAACACCAGCAATTAGTGCAGCAAATCAAACAGTTAGCCAGAATAGCAGTCCACTGGACGTGCCAGTTACCCATGTGGAGGACCTACTGGCAACGCCTGCAATAGTACCTGAACCACCTGCAGTTCAAGGTCCGCCACCATTGCAACTAATACAACCACCTGTGATCACGTGGGTGCTGCCAGCGCAAACGCTACCCATTACTACGATACCTGCCACCATAAGTAAACCCGTGCCTTCTAAGCAAACTGGGCGACCCTTTATCTTGCCCAAGCCCAGCGTAGCTGGCCAAAACAAAGCCCCAACTGGGCCTACAACACAGAATACAGTGCCAGTCAATGAGCCGAGCAGTGCTAGTCTAACGCCCACGTCACAGCTGCCCATCAAGGAACGCCTCAAGGCCATACTCAACAACAGCCACAACAGTAATCGAAAACAACGCAGCTTTTCATCACCCCCCAAGGCGAAGGCAGCGATCAAACGCAACGAGGATTGCATGGAACGACGTCGGGCAGCTGCCTCACGCTATCGCGACAAGATGCGCAATGCGCATAGAGATCTAAAGGAGCACAATGCCCAGCTGCAGCAACAGATAAGCAAACTCAACGAACGCGTTGCAGCTTTAGAGCGCGAATTGCTACAACAATACAACAATAATGCGAGTGGTAAGCGAATCCTTATATGCGACAAGCGCGATTTGATACCTAAAGAGAATTTCCATGCCTTTCTCCTCCACTAGTTATTGGCAATCATCTGCAAATACCGCCATCTAGCATACACCTGGTCATCAATGTGCCCAAGATGTTAGTGCCTGGTCAGCGACTGGATCAGAAGTAGGCTTGGATGTAGATAGGATTAAAACCTTGTACATAAAATAATATGCATAGGTTAGTATATGTACATGCATATATAGCTGAACAGTGACAACAGAATAGGGAATGGTTTCAAATAACAAATTGAAAAAAGAGTTGTTTGTACCTTTATAAAACTTACTTTAAGTTAACTCTTTGAAAATCTACTCCATCATGTGACATGCTTCTTCATTAAATTAACTTAAGAGATTGTAAAAGGAAAGTTTTTTGTATATCTATTATATTTATTTAAAATTGTATAGTATATATAAAATTTAATAGTTAAGCTCCACAGGTTTCCAGTGTTGTTCAATGCGCTTCCTCTATAAGCACAACAAATTTTATAATCTATAACCACTAACTCTCGGGTCAGTGCTATAACTTAATTTACATGTATATTATAATACAATTTGGTTGCATATATATTTATTAAAGCGTCTTAAGGCTTGAGGACATCTAAAAAAAATTATTTACTAAAAAATTGTCTATATATAATTATAAAAATATTTTACACATAGAAATGTTACAGCCAATC